TTTTTTTTTCATTTTTTATTACAGTGGCCCCACCCTTGTATGTACTGATAAAACTTCTGTGAAACACTATTATGTACATTTGACTTTACTCATAATTCTTTCTTCTCCTTTTGAATTAAAATAAAGGAGATGAATGTCTTCATTACTTTGGCAACCTAATTCCACTTTTTTCTTAACTTCAATTTTCTTCTCTCTCCGGACTCCAACCATTTTATTTAACCAAACTATATAATTTTCTATGCTTTTAAATAATTAACAATAAATAGACCCAAATATTTTACTTCTTGCGTGTTTGATCCTCGTTATCATTATAATGTATTTCTCTCTTTCTTTTCAATCATACATTGTCCGATAAAATAATATTACACGCAAACTCAAAAAAATTTCTTATTTTTTAACTACATATTTAATATCAATATACTATTAAATATGCATTAATGGACAAATGACGGTGCTAAACAAGGGCTTACACATTTTTTAAATCACAAATTCGGACAATTTGAGGGAAATTAGGAATTAGCTTTAACTCACCAAACCTCAATTTCCCCATTTTCTCACCCAAAAATTCAACCTTTCTGTTTTAATTCTCCAAAAACTGAAAACCTTTTTTCCCATAATTTTCTTGTTCAGCCGCACTAAATTTTCCATTTTTTAGTTTGATCTTACTGTACTTTTTTTTTCCCCAGTTGTGTGAAAAGCTAAAGAACCTTGTTGAGGGATAAACGTTAAATCGCTGTTTGTTTGGCTTTTGCTTTCTTTCTTTTTTTCTAGATTTTTTTTTAATAATTTCTGGGGTTTTCCTTCCAAGAAAAATTATGGGTTTTTGAGGGTTTACAGGAATTTTTGTTCTTGGAATTTGAAGTATGGAAGGTAGAGGAGGTACTATAAGTAGCAGTGGAATCACAGTGGTGGGATCAGATGCTCCTTCAGACTATCATGTGGCTCCAAGGACCACTGATAACCCAATTCAGGTGACTGGATCAGCGCCGCCTCCTCAGCCGGCGGCCTCCGACGCCGGAGTGGTTGGCGCCACCGTTGAGAAGAAGAAGAAGAAGAGGGGTAGGCCTAGGAAGTATGCCCCTGATGGATCTGCCACTAAGCCCTTCTCGCCTAAGCCGATTTCCTCCTCTGCCCCTGCGCCTATGATTGACTTCTCGGCCGCGGAGAAGACCGGAAAAGTCCGGCCAGCGCAGAATCCTATAACGGAATTGGAAAATTTGGGTAATTGCTATGATAACTGTGCATTACTATATGGAATGATGTGTGTTCTTTGTGTTAATGCATGCATGTTGATTATAACATTCTTTTATGTATTGGTGTTTAGTTTGTTTAATTGAGTGAAGAAATGGGACCTAGAAATTGATGCCCCAACTAAAATTTTGTCATGAATGGGTAGTTTTGATAGTCATGTGGATTTTTGGTACGAAGCAATGGAATCTATAGCGACTTTCTTGAATAATCCACGTTACTTATGCTGAACTTGGACTAAAAGATCGTAGATGCTTCACTTTTCGTGGGGTTTCAAGTTCGGGGTGGCTAAATTGTAATTCAGATTTGAGTGTCTTTTGTTTGTTTTTCCTAAGAGTGTAATGTTGGCTTCGAAAGAATACGTACAATCTGACTCTCCAGTGGAAAAAATTCACGCCACGCCCCCCTGAGATCAAGCCTTGCTTCCAGTCATTTATGAAAACTATACACTTGTCGGGCCCTATGACGAAAGAGTGAATTCTGCTTGTGCGTGAGGACCAAAGTTTAAATAAATATGTCATTTCTTTAACAATTTAAGCTTTTAGATGACACGATTTAACATAGATTGTTGGCCGAGAGCCCAAAATTCTCTCTCTCGTTGAGTTCATTACGCCACTTCTATAGCAATTTAAGCTTTTAGATGACACGGTTTATCATAGATTGTTGGTTGAGAGCCCAAAATTCTCTCTCTATCGTTGAGTTCATTATGCCACTTCTCTGACAATTTAAGATTTTAGATGACACGGTTTATCATAGATAGTTGTTTGAGAGCCTGAAATTCTCTCTCTATCGTTGAGTTTATTTTCTTGTCCTCTCTATAGCTGAACACTGGGTTAACTAGTCGACTCACAATGACATGAGTTTGTGGTGAAGTAAATATTCTTTTGCTAGTGGAACGAGTTCATCTCGAGATCATATAATTGGTACATGAAGATCAGGTTCATGAAGTAATGTTTTTCTTCCTATTTTTTCATGGCCCCAGAGTGTTCTTTTTTCCTCCTATTATACTTTTTCACGCTGAAGTCATCTCCTTGAGATTTACTAATTTTCGATCTTTTTTCATTATAGGTGAATGGGTTTCATGTTCTGTTGGCACTAATTTTGTACCTCATATCATCACTGTCAATGCTGGAGAGGTAAAATATCAAAAATTTCCAGCACTTTTTGCTCAATGGAAAAATAATTTTCTAGAATTTGCATTTGGGTTTTCAGTTCCGCTTCAGAGTAATTTCCATTTACTTTTCTCCCATTCACATTAACGTCCAATTTTCTGTGTACAGTGTACGATGAAAGTTGAATTCACTGCATTAATGAATCTACTTTTGATCATTTTAGGATGTCATGATGAAGGTCATATCTTTCTCTCAACAAGGTCCTCGGGCGATATGCGTTCTGTCAGCTAATGGAGTGATTTCAAGCGTAACTCTTCGTCAACCTGATTCTTCCGGTGGTACATTGACATACGAGGTACTAGAATCAATAATTTTTGCTTTATTTTAATCTTCTGCCGACTCTGTATTTATGTCTTCTTTTTTGATATCCGAGCACATTTGCTAGATGCCCAGTAACGTTCAATTATGGTATTATTTTTGTTTGCCATCGACAGGAACATTTGATATCGTAATTCTTTTGTTGTTTAGGGTCGTTTTGAGATACTATCACTGACTGGATCATTTATAGCTTCCGAGACTGGAGGAATGAGGCACCGATCTGGTGGTATGAGCGTTTCTTTAGCTAGCCCCGATGGGCGTGTTGTTGGGGGTGGAGTTGCAGGTTTACTGGTTGCTGCCAGTCCCGTCCAGGTATGTTTTCGTCTTATTAGTAAAGCGACCTGTACATAGTACATTTTCTGATGAATCTTTACGTTCTGGCATGAATTAGATTGTGGTTGGTAGCTTTTTGGTGGGGAATCAGCACGAACAGAAGACGAAGAAACACAAGACTCAGTCGATGGCTGTTACACCTACTGCTGCTATTCCTATCTCGAGTGCAGGGGCGGAAGAACCGTATCATACCAACTCTTCTCTCCGTGAAGATAGCTGGTCGTCAATGGGCCCCGACTCAATGAATAAACCTGTTGACGTCAATGTATCTTTGCCCAAGTAGTTACCCTAAACCACTAATCATATGTTCTTGAAGGTGGATTAGACGAACTAAATATCTTGTCCATTTTATTGTCTAATATTGCATAGCAAACATGCACTAACAGTTCGCTTACCAACCCATTTGGCGTCAACCCGTTCATGAGTTCCCTAGTTAACGAATCTTATCCCCCATCTGTTGTTCGTTTGTAAACTTAGTACTGGCGTACTAGATTTGTGTAGTAACTTAGCTAGTTAGTGCATTCAAATAGACATTTTTACCTATATTATCGTGTTGTAGAATGTTGAGGTATGTAATTTACAAAGCCGTCAATGCATTATCGTTTCTGTTCAGACATTTATTTGGCATCTTCGAGTCTTTTCGTCCATTCTTGGTTCTTCCAAATTCATGATTTCCTAATGGTGTTCTCATTCGCACGTTCTAAACAAAGTGAATGTGTCATAGACCGAGATAAAGTAACTCATTGATGTCCAATTTTTCACTTGTATGTATTCATTAGACACCAATGCCACTTAAACTGCAAGTCCTTCAACTTGTCCGCTGCCACGTGAATTGCGATCCATAGGATGCATTAAAATAATTTTATATCTTACTCTCCGTACACTTTAACTTGACCCACACGACTACAACTCTCGAACGCGGTCGAGATTCAATACTGGCGGATCAACGAGGAGAGTATATAAAAATGTAATCAAGAGAAAACATCATCATTCAAGCATACCAAGATGTTCGAAAAATTATATTTTCTGGCACACTTTAACGAATGAACTTGTTTCTAACCAAGAAATTGGAAATGTTTTAACACCCGTAGACTTTTTGTCATAATTAACAAATGGACTAACCGAGTCCTGCAGTAGAATCCTTCCTTGGTGCATCCGCCTTAATACGAGGAGGCCTAACTATACGATCAATGAGGCCATATTCGAGAGCTTCCTGAGCATTGAAACGCTTCATCCGACTTAAGTCCTTGTGAATCTGAATATTTAAAGTAAGAACTCAATACATATCTTGAAGATACGGAGTGACTATATAAAAATTTATTCATTATAAACACAACAAATTCTGCTCCTGATGATAGCATTATTTTGGATTAAAAACATTGTTCGTCACTCAACTTATAGCATGTTTCACTTGGGAGACTGACTGTTTTTAACCCCATTTTTCTTTGTTCCAAGCTTAATTTGCACCTATCTGATGATGTAATCCAGTTAATTAATGTTTAAATTTGATTTTACAAAACAAAAAACAAGGTATAAATATACTAAAACCTGTGCCCACATTCACGTTACAGATTTTTACAAGGAAGCCATAGCAAAAGCCCACACATATAAGGACAATCAGAATGATTTTATACCTTATCAACAGGCTGACCAGTCTTCTGAGCCAACTCCTTGAAAAGATAGTCTCTTATCCTAAGCAGCTCATCTGCCTCATTACGAATGTCGTCAGCCTGCCATTAAATGGCTCCCGATAAATAACCAGCAGCAAGTATGAGTAATTATAACACGCTTTTACAGACAAGAATAAGTATGATCAAACCTGACCACGAGCAGCTCCAGCTGGAGACTGTAATGCAACTCTTGAAAGAGGCATTGCAAAGCGATTACCCTTCATAAAACGAGAGATTGTTAAACAGGTGACACCAACAAGACATACAGTTTCGGCTTTCATTATCAATTAGGTCCACATATTTTGGTCAGTAGGCTATGACCTACTACTTGAACACGAAAGAATGCCAAAAAAATACTGTAGAAGATAGAGCATGTTTGCCAAAGCTTAATAATTTTATTTACGTAAAAAAGTTTGCTGAAGATAAATAGATTTTTATTGGCCAGAGTTGGAAACAAGTAATTTACTTATTTAGACAATAAGCAAGTTACTCTCAAACCAAGTGATTCTATAAGCCCAGCTACAGACTATCATTATATTCAAAATACTAGAGAAAGAAAGAAACAGAACCCAATGGTAGCCAATTAGATGACTATGGTCTAGACTTCTAGTAAATCAAAATATTGTTATTTTGATCAGACAATATCTATATTCGTAATCTTTAAGCAAGTTTGCCTAGAACTCTTTATAATCCCTCTAAAGATTAATTTATATAACCAACCACATTTTATTTTTGGAGAAGAGAGTATTACCTTTTCACCAGCAGCAAGAAGAAAGCCTGCCAAATTATATGCATAGCCCACACAATGGGTTCCAACGGGACTTTGCAAACTTTGCATTGTATCATAGATAGACATACTTGGAGTAAGCTGCAAATACAACAAAAACATTTATATACGCATATGGGACATTTCAAAGAAGAGCAAAAAAAACATATATTTTAGTTTTGAAGAACTTACATCTCCTCCAGGGCCATTGATGTACATATAAAGCTTTTTGGAATTGTCAATACTGTCTAGGTATAACATCGTTGCTAGTATCTGGTTGCTGAATTCTTCATCTATGTGTTGTCCAATGAAAATAACACGTTCACGATACTGCAGTTCATGAGGTCAGCAAGTTTTTGAAAAGCACAAAGACACCAAAATGAGCTGAAATCGGACATTTAAATTTTTGCATTGGTTGACTTAGAGCATGTTTGGGTAAAGCTTAAAATGAAAATAAAGGTGACTTTTAAATAACTTTTTATTTTCAAACATATTTGAATACATAAAGCTTTCTTTACTTTTAAGAAAGGTAAAGAAAGCTACTTATCCAACTTTCACAATTATTAAAAAAAATTCAAAATGAGTTACTAACATATTTCTAACCTTGACCAATTAAAAACATTATTTATGTTAAAACTTACTAATATACTTATAAGTAAACGTCTTAAGCTTAGTTAAACATGCTATAAGTTGATAGTCTATTCGACTATTTGTAGTCAAGATCACTTACAAGAGCATTCCACAAATCAACCCATTGCCAAGTCCCCTCAGTTGGATTTCTGTATGGCACTCTAGGCGTTCCTATTGGCATCATTGCAACACGCGCCCGAGTCGGTTTACTGTTACAAGTCCTGGAAGTGTGAAAC